GTAACTTTTATTACAATTAGACCTAAAACTATCTCAAAATCTTTCATCTAACAAACGTATTATCCAAATAAGCTTCCTAACCATTACCATAAAAAAGGATGTAGAAACCTGTGTAATTTAAAAGTTTGCTGTAGCCGTGGTATCAGAAAAAAGAAACGTATAAGCAAAATCATCCACGAGAGAAAAATTATTTTTCTCAACACAAGATGTAATAAAAAATAAGTAACTTTACAAATTCCAATCATCTCAAAGGGCACGAGGTGTAAACACATAATTCAGTTATTGGGTGGAAGTCCCAGCGTCACGTGTTTTGTACTGTTAATCAAAAGTTGGATAACGTGATATTCAAGAAATTACCTTTACACTAGAAAAGCGCATGTTTAAGAAATTATTTGTCAAAAATGAGACCTAACTTTCAAAAAAATTATTTTCTGCACCAATAAAAAAGCTGAGCGAGATTTTTAAGAAAACAAGCACCAACAAAAACATAATAATCTGCTGAAAGCTGTCAATCATAAAACCCTCATACAATATGAAATAAAAGAAACACAGATACAGTGCGAAACGCTATTTTGAAACGTATAAGCAAAACCGTTAACGAGAGAAAAATTGTTTTTCTCAGCAAGAATACAATAAAAAATAAGTAACTTTATAAAGCAATAAAGTCACACCCAATTCAGACCAAAATAAGAAGTTTAACACTTGCTTAAGCTAAGTAAAGCCTAGCTAAGAACGTATTAAAAAACTGTGTACAAAACCAAGCTAATTTAAACCTATCGCAACGACAAGTAGGAAAATCTACATGAAAGTCTTACCATAGCTCTTAAATACATTATAAACGAACAACACCGAGGAAAATGTAAGAATAAAAGAACTATTATATACACCAGTGGTAAAAACAGTGCTAATCAGACTCCGCAGTTGTAACTTTGACGCTCACATTCGAAGTTAAATCAGAAATTTTTTTCAAAAACTCTTCCTCAGGCAGCAAAGCATCTACAAGAGAGAAAAAATTAAAGAATTAATGGCCGAAAAAGCAAGGAACTTTAGGACTTAAATTTGAACAAACCTCTTTCAATTTCTTCAAACTGCTCATCAGAAACTATATCAGTAAATAGCTGACGGACAAAACTGCGATTACTTATTATGTTGAAAAATAAATGATCAATTTCAATTCTCCGTTCTGGATCAGGAACTAGTTCTTCAAACCTTTCTGAAAAGTATTTAAGCTACAATAAAGAAGTGTCATAAAACTTGAATGATAAGCTGCGTAATGAGCGAAAGCTTTAACTTAAAAAAAAAAAAATGATTTGAAATCAAGCCGGCCAAAAGTAATTAACGACAACAAGGCCCAAGAAAGCACTTGAAGTGCATCAACAAAAGGAGAACCTGAAGTTTCTCTGTAATTAAACGTTTCCGCTGGGGCATCTGGATCAATCATATAGAACTGCCTGTCACTCGAGCTCAACTGCTGAAGACTAGTTCCCTGAAAGCAAAACTCTTGATAAAAATAAACAGAAAAAGTATGTCCAAAATTTGTAAAAACAAACATTTGAAAAAGTAAAGCAAACAGACAAAAAAACAAAATATACATCTTTTCTTGAACTACCACCGCCCGCAGTACTATTTAAATCAAAGATAAAACATAAAACTTAAAACTAATTAAAAATACGAGGTGAAACCAACAGCAAAACATGTTAATGACTGAACTACCGACTTATAAGGTCATTGTTATTTGAAAGGCTATAACGTGTCGTCTGTTTGAATTCTCATATATTCAAGAAATGCGAAAATTTTAACCCTTACTCACTTATTTTATTATCGAAGAACAGCCGCATACAAGAATCAGTACTGACCATACTAAAGCCTTTATCATAATTCCAGCAAATAAATCCCTATCTGTTTCCAAAGTAGAAAAAGAACAACATTACTATTAACAACTTTGAAAAATTTATTGGCCAAAATATGACATCTCTGCGCAGACTTTTAAACCGCTTTACGTGTAGTAAAAATCGGTGACCACAAAAAGAAAACGGGGAAATACCTGATTTGATTTCAAAAGATCTTCTGAGATATTAAAAGGCACAGGCCTCCTGACCACACTACCAAGTACCCCATAGGGTTTCTTGAACGTAGAGGGCGTCTTAAAGGCGCCTGATGCAACATTTTTCACATCTTCAAGTGCTCTTCGAGGCGTCGTCATGGAAGAAATGTCGGCTTTGTTGTCAGTACGCTTTATACTGCCTAAAAAATAAATAAAGAGAAAGAAAAAATAACACCGCTGCAGCTTAAACCATTTGTTCAAAAAAAAGTATTTTCTCTCCAAGACCTTTTCTGAACGTATTTAAATAAAGTTCTTGAGTTTACTGTGCTCATCCTTCCTAATTACAAGAATATTTAATTGCCTTTCTCATACTTTTTAAAGTTCAAAAATTATAAAACTTCCTCGAAACTGGTTCGAACCTCACTTGAAAAAAATGTCAAAGAAAGTACACTGCAAACTAGATAATAACGCACAAAGCTTGTTTTAAAAAAATTTTATTTGGTAAAAACTATTTGAAGGAGGATGAAACACTAAACCGTAGTCTCCCGCTGAATCGTCATTCAGAGTATTTCTTTGACTTGACGTTTTGACATATGCCATCTGAAAAGGATATTAGGTTTTCTTAAGTTACTGGGAAAAAAAAAAGCACAAGAATAAAAGAGGATAAGGAATCAGAAACCACTGTTTGAAATAAACTGTTTTCTTTGGCTCACAAGTAATTTTTTATCCGAGACCTACACTTATCTGGTAACCTTAAACCAACTTAGCATATTAATCTGATTTTTCCTGCTAAAATCCTCAGCATCTCTTTACGTTGCACTATAATAATTTTTTAAACAAAGACTGTTGGTCCGTCCTGTACAACAGTCCTTGAAAATGATGCGTTAGAGAAATGCAATGCACTGGATAATTCATGGGTACTCATTGACTGCCCTAAGCGGACCACTCAATTTTCTAGAACCAGACACATATGGCCCTTGGCCCAGGAAAGACTTTGAAGTAACATAACGGGCAATCCGTTACTATATAGTAAGTAAATCTCAGCAATCTTGCATCAAAACAGGGAGATTGGGGAGAAAGAACTTCTGTTTCAACGAAAATTTAAAATCACGAAATGCGCGGAAAAACTGGTGCGAATTTTTGCCTGCTGAATACGCTTTTATTTGAAAAAGGCGGGATATTCCAAATTGGTTCTGTTGGCTGTGATCCGAGAGCGCCAATGTGAATCAGCTTTCCGAGGACTGTGCGTGAAGTATTAGGAGATCTGTGGTATGAACTATTTTTCATGGTGAACTATTTTTAGCAAAACGCCTGAAGGTCAGCTATCTTTCTTTTGATATACCTCCACATCCACTGGAAACGATTTCAGCGGAGAATAGGACAGGAGAAGTTTTGAATATTCTTCACCGTCTTTTAGGGAGACAAATTTTCAGTGTCCTGGGAGGTGAAGGCAAGGAGCAGCCCTAAACTTTGCTAGTGGTTAAATGGTCCTGTTTTTAAGAGTCTTAGAAAAAAAAATTGAGACTTTCTTCTATTTTACGAAGTTGCTTAGATACATTTCCGAGAAGTCATTTGCAAAACTAAAATTGGCCACGGTTAGCAAAATTTGGCGTTTCTTGATTAAGTTTTGG